GGCCGGGGGTGGCAGCTCGGGGGACACCCCCAGCCACAGCCGGGGTCACCCCCCAACCCCAAGGACATCCCGGGGTCCCTTCGCGGGGGCTGGGGGGGCTCGGGGAGCCGCGCTGTGTCCCGAGGGAGGCTCCGGCAGCATCCCTGGAGCAGGGTCTGGCTCCCGAAGGACACCCGGGATCCAGGACCGGGATCCAGGACCGGGATTCTCCATCCCTGGGGGCAGAGCAGGGTCCCGAGGGAATCCCCATCCCACGCACCGGGCTGGAAATGGAAACGCTCTTACAACCAGCTCCAGCATCCAGAATTCCCAGGGCGAGCTTTGTGGCCTTGAAGCAGCAGTTTCTGCCCCAAAAAGCCCCGAATCCTGGGATATCCAAACTCTGCTGCTGCACCCCGAGCTCGGCCGGGGGAGGACCCAAAACCGGCCCCGAGAAGGGGATGGAGGAGGAAAGAAATGGAAATAAAATCTGCTCAGAGTCAGCTCTGAGCTCAGAACTGCCCGGATCGGGCCCGGGAGGCTCGGGGGGGAATTTGGGGGAGTTTGGGGAGAGACTGGGGGAATTGGGAGAGTTTGGGGAAGAATTTGGGGGAATTTGGGGAGAGTTTTGGGAAGAATTTGGGGGAATTCAGTATTCCAGAGGAGCAGTGGCCTTGTCCCTCCTCCTTTGTCTCCTCCTGACCTTTCCCAGCGCTTTGTGGCTTCTCTGGGCTTTATTTTTTTTTTCTTTTGAAGGAATTTGCCTAGAAACAGCCCACACGAAAAGGAAAAAAAAAAAAAAACCAAAAAACCCCAAAACAAAGAATTAATCAAAGCAGCTGCTTGAGCCAAACAAATCTCTGCAGGCACAGACTGGAATGGGCCTTTTTCTCCCTTATTTTCCTGAATTTTTATGTAAAATACGCAGAATTCTTGCTGGGGGAGGCTCTGACTCGGCGGGGCAGGGTGAGGATTGATATTCCAGCAGCATCCCCAGGGCTGGCAGGGATGAGAGGCCCTTTGTGGTGGGGAGAGAGGACAATGGAGCTCGCCCCAAAGCCCCGGGATTCGGCCTCAGAGCTGCCCCTGACCCTCAGCTCGTGGGGTGGACGCGAAGAGGAAAATCAAATTAAATCTGGGGCTTGAGGTGGGCACCTGCAGGAGCACAGGGGGGTCTTGGCTGAGGAATTGGGGTTAAATCCTGGTTTTTTTGCTGTGTTCTGCTGTCGGTGGGGGGAGGCTGGAGCTTGGATGGGGGGGATTTATTTACCAAACCCAGGGAATCGGAGCCGTTCCTGCCCCGGGAGGCACCGCAGCAGGGGGGGTGAGATCCAGGAGGGAAGGAGAGCAGGATTCCCACCCCTGGGGGCTCCCAAAATCCCCCAGGAAGGGGCAAAAAGGAAATTCTGAATAAACCAGAACACCAAAGATCCCTGTCCAACCTCGAGCTTTGTGATTTATTCCTGCCAAGGACCTCGGCCTGACCCCAGAATAAAGCACCAGCTCCAAAATTATCCAAAATAATTCTCCAAAATTCCCCAAAATTCAATTATTTCCCCCCCAGACCAAGCAAAAATCCCTCCTTTCCCACCCCAGCAGCTTCTGGTGGTTTCAGCTTTAAGCCCCCCCCAGCTGATCGTGGGTAATTCCTTCCATTGGGAAGAAATCAATCAATCAATCAATCAATCAATCAATGATGGAATTCCCAGAGGAGCTGCCATGGCAGGGGGGGCTCTGGGTGGGATTTTTCCCTTCCAGGATCCTGGAATTCCGTGGATTCCCCACCGAAGGAATTGCTGAGGCCACACTGCATCTATGCCCGCGTTTATTTATACTGAACAGCTTTAAAAATACAGAATAAAATAGCTTTATCTACTATTATTCACAACATCTGGTCCAAATATTACATTTTTAAATATTCAGTTGTTTAATGAAGCGATGTTAGGAAACAACAACAACAACAACAAAAAAAAGGAATAATAATAATAATAATAAAAAAAAGAACTCAGTGAAAGAATTACACATCTTGGAACAAGAGAAAAATCAAACACACCCCACCCCTCCCTCCCCAAAAATTAAACTTTTGCTGTTGAACAAAGAAAGTTTTACAGCCAAAGTCGGTCACGAAAAGTCATGGAAAAAGCAAAATTGATCCCCACCGCCCAAGAACAGTCAATAGTTTGTTACGCCAGAGGTTCCGAACAGACAAACACAGGAATTTTTATTTGGACTGGGATTGCCCAGGAAGGGCAGAGGCCACCCGAGCTCTCCCCGCTGCCCCGGAGGGTGCGGGAATTCCAGGCAGGAATTTCAGCAGGAATTTCAGCAGGAATTTCAACATGGAATTTCAGTAGGAATTCCAGCATTAATTCCATCAGGAATTCCAACCAGGAATTCCAACCAAGAATTCCAGCCAGGAGTTCCATCAGGAATTCCAACCAGAAATTCCAACAGGAATTCCAACCAGGGATTCCAGCCAGGAATTCCAACCAGGAATTCCAACCAGGAGTTCCAACCAGGAATTCCAGACATGAATTCCAACCAGGAATTCCAAGCAGGAATTTCAGCAGGAATTCCAACCAAGAATTCCAGCCAGGAGTTCCATCAGGAATTCCAACCAGGGATTCCAGCAGGAATTTCAGCCAGGAATTCCAGCCAGGGATTCCAACCAGGGATTCCAGCCAGCAATTCCATCAGGAATTCCATCAGGAATTCCAGCCAGGGATTCCAGCAGGAATTCCAGCCAGGGATTCCAACCAGGGATTCCAGCCAGGAATTTCAGCCAGGAATTCCAACCAGGGATTCCATCAAGAATTTCAGCCAGGAGTTCCAACCAGGGATTCCAGCCAGGAATTCCAACCAGGGATTCCAACCAGGGATTCCAGAAGGAATTCCAGCCAGGGATTCCATCAAGAATTCCAGCCAGGGATTCCAGCCAGGGATTCCATCAGGAATTCCAACCAGGGATTCCATCAGGAATTCCAGCCAGGAGCGCTCCTGGTGGCTCCAGCACCGATCCCAACTCTCCGCCAGCCCCGGATCCTCCCCCGGGGCTCCCCAAATCCCACCCAAACCGCCCCAAATTCTCGCTGCAGAAATGGAGAGCGACCCCCCCAGCCCCGCTGCCCCAGCTTGGGAAAAGGAAAGGGGAAAAAATGGGGGAAAAAAAGCAGCTTTTGGTTGAAGAAGGCGCGAGGTGAGGGTGGAGCTGGTGGCTCCGGCTGCTGGGCTGGGCTGGAGGGCTCGGCCAGAGGAGGAGACACCACCAGAGCCCAAAATGAGAAAATTCCCCCCATTTCTGGGCTGGGAATCCACGCCGCGCTCGCTGCCGCTCCTCGGGGCTCCGCTCCCCGCCAGGGCTCGGGCAGGAACACAGAACACGGTAAATAAAGTATACACAACCCCATAGATTCGTCAATGAAGAAATTCTACCATCACATGACATTGTCATGACACTCATACCACTCCCTCCCAGGAAAACGCCGTCGTCCTGAGCGGAAATGTTATTTTTTTTTTTCTCTTAATATATGGAAATAAAATATTCATGTACAAACCAAGCTGTCGTATTTCAAGTCAGTATTAAAAGGCAATAAAAGCAAATTTGGGGGTTGGAAAGGTTGAGCTTTCTGAGCGAGGTACGTGGTGAAGTCCCTCCAATGGAAAAGGTAATCAGTCAGATTATTAGTAATTTCTACAGGCGTAATTCGCAAGTATTTCCTTTAGAAAATGTTTCAATATGTCAGCAAGAACCCTTGATTCAACCTAAAAAAAGAATAAAAAATAAAAAATACAAGAAAATTGAAATTTGAAAAGGACAAAAATGCCGAGTTTGTTTGCAGACACGGATGCCGTCTCTGGTGTGACAAAATGCGATTTGCACCGTGGGTATTTGCGTTCCCTCGGAGGATTCGGGAGTTTCTCGCTGTCCCCTCGCTCGCTCTCAGCCGGCAGCCGGCCCCGGCTGCTGGAAAGGCAGGGGAGCACGGAGAGGAAAATCCAGCCTTGAGTTGTCAGCTCACAGCCAGAGTCGTTCATCTTCATCCTGCAGCCTCATCTTCCTCCTCCTGCGGCCTCATCTTCCTCCTGCAGCCTCATCTTCCTCCTGCAGCCTCTTCCTCATCCTGCAGCCTCTTCCTCATCCTGCAGCTTCATCTTCCTCCTCCTGCAGCTTCATCTTCCTCCTGCAGCCTCTTCCTCCTCCTGCAGCTTCATCCTCATCCTCATCCTACTGCAGCCTCATCTTTCTCCTGCAGCTTCATCCTCATCCTGCAGTCTCTTCCTCATCCTCCTGCAGCTTCATCTTCCTCATCCTGCAGCCTCATCTTCCTCCTGCAGCTCTGCAGCTTCATCCTCATCCTCCTGCAGCTTCATCCTCCTCTTGCAGCCCCATCCTCATCCTCCTGCAGCCCCATCCTCCTGCAGCCCTGCAGCCTCTTCCTCATCCTCCTGCAGCCTCATCTTCCTCCTGCATCCCCATCCCCATCCCATCCCTGCCCGCAGCCCAGCGCAGCCCCCGGCTCCCCAGGATGTCACCGCAGCCCCCTGGGAGGGGGAGCAGGAGGAGAAGGGGAAGCAGGAGAAGGGTTTGGGGTCCAAAATCCCTTCACCCTCACCAACCCGGGCTGGACTCGGGGATTTCCCCCCAGGAGCAGCAGCAGGAGCCCCAGGGAGGGACAGGGGAGCTGAGCCCCAGGGAGGGACAGGGGAGCTGAGCCCCAGGGAGGGACAGGGGAGCTGCTCCTCCCTGCTGTGCCCACCCCAGGCAGCTCCCCCTGCGCGTCCCCGAGCCCGGGGCTCACCCTGAACCATCCACCCTGGGGCAAGTGGGATCTGTCCCACTCCTGGATCCAAACCCAATTCCCAATTCCAGCTGCTGCCCTCTGCTCTCAGGGGCACGGATCACAGCAAGAATTCAATCCAACAGGGATTGAAACCTGCTGGGGGAACCAGGGTGAGACAGAACCAGCCCAGGATTTGCTGCCCTGGCCTTGGGGCATGGATCACAGCAAGAATTCAATCCAACAGGGATTGAAACCTGCTGGGGGAACCAGGGTGAGACAGAACCAGCCCAGGATTTGCTGCCCTGGCCTTGGGGAATCTCCACTGAGAGCCCCCCAGGAGTTGGAGACACAAACTCTGCTCTCCTCCCCTCCTGTCCCTGCAGTCAGCTGGAGATGGAGCAGCTTTTCCCTCCCTCTGCTTTTCCAGCTCTGGCATTTGGCATCAGCACCAGTTGATTTGTTGTTGTTTTGTTTCCCTTTAGGGGGGGTTTTTAACCCCCTGCCTGCCACGCAGCTTTGGCCGCACAGAAAACCGGGGAATTGGGAAGTTTTGTGCCCAAAGCGTGCGCAGGCAGGAGTGGGAACCCCAACACCTCCCTGCCTGGAGAGGAAACACTGAAAAATGAGCGAAAATCACTTTTTTTTTTCACAGGCAAACCAAGCTCCTCTAGCACACAACCAACTCTTCCCACCGGGCCTCGCGTCCAGCCGACAGCAAGGCCGCAAACTACTGAAAGTTCCCCGAAGGAAGCAGGAACAAAGGCATGCTTGGGCACGGGAAAAGCGGGATAAAACAGTTTCTGGAAACATCCATGGCATGCTGAGAACGATACCCACGGAACCATCCCGACCCCACGCTGCTCGGATCCGCCAAGCTCCGTCCTCCCCACCCCGACCCCGTCCATGCTTCAATAACCCAGAAGGAATTCAGAGAAAACAGAGTTCCTGTGCTCCTGCCCAGCAGTCAAAACTTGGATAAATCCATCAGGGCCTCACAGGGTTTGTGGTTTTCCAGGAATACAAAAGGCAAAGCACCGTAGAGCGTTACTGGCCTCGAAATCACATTACACAACATTTCCCTGATCGTCTCCACAGCTGAAAACGCTTTTGGGGGGGCCACAATGAAGTCTAAAACTAACTTGCAATAGTAAGAACATTAAACAGGAATAAAACTGTTCATGGTGAATGCATGATGAGAGTGAACACCCACATAACAGCAGAGCTGAGACCGTTCCAGGAAAGGAAAAATAAACAACATTTATCTGAGTGGTGCCCTGGCTGGAGCCGATACCCGTGAGGCCAGCAGGTGGGTGAGGCTGGCAGGTGTGGTGTCTCTGCTGTCCCAAACCCCATTCCTAGCGGGAATAAACCTCTGGAAAAACCCCCCCAGCAGGAGGAGAGCCTGGTGCAGCAGCGGAGGGCTGGGAGCAGGTTAATTAAGCTGCTGTTAATTGGTTGGAGCTGCTGGGTTCATCAGCATTTCTGGCCAGGAGACACGGTGCTGGACTGGAAAGTTCCTCCAGGTCCTGTCTGAGCGCAGTTTCCCATCCCTGGAACGCCCCAAAGTGAGAAATGCTGTGAATAAAGTGAATAAAATCAATAAAAAAGCTGCTGCAGCACTGAGCCAGCCAAAGTCACCTGGTTTTCAAGGGCAAAGTTATTCCAGAAAGTTCCTGTCTGAGCAGTGGCTGTGCCACTGGAATTGTTGGAGTCTGGAATACAGAGTTTGAGCCCTTGTTTCTGATACTTGGTTACAAGATCTAGAAAAACACTGAATTTCATTTAATATGAAATTTATCAACGTGTTTTCACGGTGATACGTGAAAACAAATGTTAGATAGGAAAAGTTTAAGTGTGTAGATTATAAAGTTTTTTTTTGGGTGAAAAAGTTAGTTTAGAGAACAGGAGAGAAGGTGGAGGATTTAAGGTGTTGTCTCTTGTCCTTCTTGTCTCCTGTTCTCTAAACAAACTTTTTCACCCAGTGATTTAAAAAGCTTTCTAATCTACACACTTACACTTTTATTTTTCTATCTAAGTTTAACATTTGTTTTCACGTGTCACCATGAAAACACGTTGATAAATTTCATATTAAATGAAATTCAGTGTTTTTCTAGATCTTACAACTAAGTATCAGAAACAAGGGCTCAAACTCTGTATTCCAGACTCCAACAGGAATCACAGATAATTCACTGAGCTCTCCTGACCTGCCAGCTGAGGAGGTGGAACGTGCAAATCACTGAGCAGCACAGCAGCATCTCTGGGACTCCACATGGTCAGAAGGAAATCATTTTCTCCTCTGCTCTCTTTTCCTCCTGCTCTGAGTTTCAGCTTTCCTCGGCAGAACCAATCCTGAGGGTTTCAATGAAATCACCAGAAAAAGGAAAGCTTTGCAGCAGAACCTCCACAGCTCCACCTAAACCCCNCATGCTGAGGACGATACCCACGGAACCATCCCGACCCCACGCTGCTCGGATCCGCCAAGCTCCGTCCTCCCCACCCCGACCCCGTCCATGCTTCAATAACCCAGAAGGAATTCAGAGAAAACAGAGTTCCTGTGCTCCTGCCCAGCAGTCAAAACTTGGATAAATCCATCAGGGCCTCACAGGGTTTGTGGTTTTCCAGGAATACAAAAGGCAAAGCACCGTAGAGCGTTACTGGCCTCGAAATCACATTACACAACATTTCCCTGATCGTCTCCACAGCTGAAAACGCTTTTGGGGGGGCCACAATGAAGTCTAAAACTAACTTGCAATAGTAAGAACATTAAACAGGAATAAAACTGTTCATGGTGAATGCATGATGAGAGTGAACACCCACATAACAGCAGAGCTGAGACCGTTACAGGAAAGGAAAAATAAACAACATTTATCTGAGTGGTGCCCTGGCTGGAGCCGATACCCGTGAGGCCAGCAGGTGGGTGAGGCTGGCAGGTGTGGTGTCTCTGCTGTCCCAAACCCCATTCCTAGCGGGAATAAACCTCTGGAAAAACCCCCCCAGCAGGAGGAGAGCCTGGTGCAGCAGCGGAGGGTTGGGAGCAGGTTAATTAAGCTGCTGTTAATTGGTTGGAGCTGCTGGGTTCATCAGCATTTCTGGCCAGGAGACACGGTGCTGGACTGGAAAGTTCCTCCAGGTCCTGTCTGAGCGCAGTTTCCCATCCCTGGAACGCCCCAAAGTGAGAAATGCTGTGAATAAAGTGAATAAAATCAATAAAAAAGCTGCTGCAGCACTGAGCCAGCCAAGGTCACCTGGTTTTCAAGGGCAAAATTATTCCAGAAAGTTCCTGTCTGAGCAGTGGCTGTGCCACTGGAATTGTTGGAGTCTGGAATACAGAGTTTGAGCCCTTGTTTCTGATACTTGGTTACAAGATCTAGAAAAACACTGAATTTCATTTAATATGAAATTTATCAACATGTTTTCATGGTGATACATGAAAACAAATGTTAGATAGGAAAAGTTTAAGTGTGTAGATTATAAAGTTTTTTTTTGGGTGAAAAAGTTAGTTTAGAGAACAGGAGAGAAGGTGGAGGATTTAAGGTGTTGTCTCTTGTCCTTCTTGTCTCCTGTTCTCTAAACAAACTTTTTCACCCAGTGATTTAAAAAGCTTTCTAATCTACACACTTACACTTTTATTTTTCTATCTAAGTTTAACATTTGTTTTCACGTGTCACCATGAAAACACGTTGATAAATTTCATATTAAATGAAATTCAGTGTTTTTCTAGATCTTTGTCACCATGAAAACACGTTGATAAATTTCATATTAAATGAAATTCAGTGTTTTTCTAGATCTTACAACTAAGTATCAGAAACAAGGGCTCAAACTCTGTATTCCAGACTCCAACAGGAATCACAGATAATTCACTGAGCTCTCCTGACCTGCCAGCTGAGGAGGTGCAATGTGCAAATCACTGAGCAGCACAGCAGCATCTCTGGGACTCCACATGGTCAGAAGGAAATCATTTTCTCCTCTGCTCTCTTTTCCTCCTGCTCTGAGTTTCAGCTTTCCTTGGCAGAACCAACCCTGAGGGTTTCAATGAAATCACCAGAAAAAGGAAAGCTTTGCAGCAGAACCTCCACAGCTCCACCTAAACCCCTTCCAAACCATCAGATTCAGGTGCACAGCTCTCTACAACTCCCCAAAACCAGCTGGATTTGCCCCAGAGACACCAGACCTGGCTCCCACCACCCACAGCAGGAAAAGCTTATTTATTTTTCTTTTTTTTTTCTTTTTTTTTTTTCTTTTTTTTTTTTGTTAAATCTGTCTCAGCTCTGGTTCCAGAATTTAAATGCAGATATACAAAACATATATTTTAATGCTTCTTAATCAGCAAGAAACTGCAAATACATCTTTGACTACAACTAGATAATATAATTTCAGCTAAGGCTATACTGTAGCTTCTGAGTCTTCTGAACTCCTGCAGTTACTGCTTTTCCTGAAGCCTTTCCACGTGTATCCCACGAAGGTGGGGCTGATGGGCAGGAAGCTGAAACACCTGTATTTTTTAATGAAGTTCATGCCAAAAGGCAGATCATAGGTCTCCATGCCATCCAGGGATTTGCTTCCTTTGCCGATCCCCTTCTTCCATTTCCGAATTCCTCGCTCTTCGGGGCTTCCTGGGAACCAGAATGAAAGGAGAGTGATGGGTTTGATCATGGATGTTTTTATAGGAACACACAGGGATAAAGCAGGGCCTGGAAGAAGAAAGGAAACATCAAGGCTCAGCAGAGCTCTGGAGAGATCCTCCAGGCTCCTCAAACAGGGAAAATCACATTATCTGCTTCATTTTGTGACTGGAGGTCAAGGGAAATCTTCCCTCTGGAATGGAAGCAGGTCTGGATCTCCAAGCCAGCTCTGTCTCCTGGAGACTGCTCCGGTTTCTGTCACCTCCTCTGGGTTTATCAGGACGGGATTTGAAGCTGGGAAGGATTGCAGGGATCTCGGGAGGGAGGGAGGGGGCAAGGACTGTGCTGCTGGGGGGGGACAGACAGCCCAAAACCAGGGGGATGCTGCTGCTGCTGCTGCTGCTGCTGCAGGGAGTGCAGCTTGGGACAGGGACAGGGAAGGGGACAGGGACAGGGACAGGGATGGGGACAAGGACAGGGACAGGACAGGGATGGGGAAAGGGACAAGGGCAGGGAAAGGGACAGGGAAAGGGACAGGGATGGGAAAAGGGACAGGGAAAGGGACAGGACAGGGACAGGACAGGGACAGGAGCAGGGAAAGGAGCAGGGAAAGGAGCAGGGAAAGGAGCAGGGAAAGGGACAGGGATGGGAAAAGGGACAGGGAAAGGGACAGGGAAAGGGACAGGAGCAGGGAAAGGAGCAGGGAAAGGAGCAG